CTGAGCTTGAATGAAGACATTTAGAGCTTTTGTGGGTTCCATGAAGAATTGCTGAGCTTGAATGAAGACATTTAGAGCTTTGAGATCCAACATAGGGTGGAAGCCAGTTTTTGGTATGGGAATTGTAATTCGTTAAAAGGTTGGAAGCCAAATGAGTGACACTACCAACTGACTGATTCTTTAGTCAAAATTGTGAATGAAAATATACAGATCGGGTCCAAATGTGTTTAGTAGTGTGCAGTAGGAGACCAAGTCACTTCCTGCCTTGCTGTACAAGAATCAATGTTCAGCGCAACATGAGCATGAAGTGAATCACAAGCTTTCACCAGGCACTAGCAGGAGCACATGGAGGCCGCTATCAGATAAGCATTTAGTGTTTTACAGTAAAATCCCCAAAGATGGTCCCACCTAACACCAACACAACTTTCCTGCATCCTCAGGAGGAGTATGGGAACTTACTTAAAGACATTAATCAGCTGCTCACTGGGGGAATTCCGGAGTCCAGCCACCATGCTCTGCAGTTTGCTCACACACTGCGTTGCGGATGATACAGGAGTGATTACAACTGTTTCCTCTTTCAGGTATCTTCTACCAGTCAGCGGAGTGGAAGGAGCAAAGGATCGTCTCTGTCAAGTAAAATCTCACAATCAGCCAAAATATTGTAACTTTGAATGCTAATTATTTTTGTGCTAGACAAACATGCAAATCTAAAAAGTCAATGCTCTACACCAGGGGTAGGCAAACTTTGGCCTTTCAGCTGTGGTGAACCGGCATTAAGTGCTCATGCTTTGTAGGCCTTTACTTTAAGCTACTACACATTTCCTTATGTCAAATGATGAATTAAAAAGGATGAGTGAGGGATCCTCTAAGCTTACCAATAGTGTATGAACATGCTCAGTACTGAAAGCACAGATGTGCAAGAACCAACCATGACGCACATACCTTCTCAAAATGCTGTTGCAGGTTGGACTCCACTTGTTTCCTTGGTGTGCAGTTGCCAATAGGGAGATCTGCAATGAACTTCCTTGGCGTTCCAATCTCTTCTTCTGCATCATCTCCCAAAAACACTCGCTCATCGAAGTCCCCCACAGTAAGGACATACTCCTCATACTCTCTGTTTAAAGCTTTACTATAAATTAAAAAGGTACACGAGAATGAAAAAAAAAATGACATGTTCTAGGTACATGTAAAATATTTTGCAGTAAGCTTGAATTTTACTTGAACAGATGTGTCCCTGGTGGCTATGGAGGAATATATTTAAAGTGTTTCTACTTTTGCAGTCAAATTTGAGAAAACCCTTCTATATTTTTGTTATGTGTATCTGGCCTACACTGGCAGGTCTCATTCATTGTAAACTAGATTTTAACATAATCTGTCCTAACAAGGGGCGACATATCTAGAAAGCATTCTGCATTGTATGATCATGAGAGGAAACTGACTCTACCCCATTGGTCCCTCCGAAATTGCTCAGAATAACTTGCAGAACCCATGTATAATTCTGCTCCGAAAAAACAAGAAAAAAAAGGTAAGAATTTGTTTTAATTATCGGCATGCTTTGTGAATTGCAACACAGACACATATTGGGAGTTCTCAAACTTGACTGCACATTCGTCCACAGTAACAAAGTGTAAGTTACCAACGAAAGTGACCTGGATAATAATAAGGCAATACTACAAGTCAGTACTGTTATTAATAAATGTTTAAATTGGTTGACAAGTTCACTTTAAGAGGGATAGACCAACAAAAATGAGTTCATGTTTTCTTTTAAAGTTCTGCACAGCAGGCTCATGTTATACGTAAATAGCAAGTCGCTTTTCCAATGCTACTTATAATATAAACGGTACATTTTAGATAAGGAAATAAGTAGTTGGCAGCAAATAACATTGCAGTCAGTGACCGGAGGGAGATATAGAAACTTAGACTCCATTGCCTACTTTCACTCATGGCACGCAAACTATATACACAGCAACAGCAGTGTCCTCTTTTTGAGCCTGCCATCATTGTTCCTAATGGACATTAAGTCTGCTCTGTTACTATTAAAACACCAAAATTAATGTGCTTACTTATTATCTGGGAAGCTAGAGAGGTCCAGCAAGCACTCTCCTTTAAGAATCTAAAATGGAATAAAAACAAACATACTAAGAACAATGAATACCACACACGTTTAATAACCATTATTTAGAAAGGGAAAAGTCTGTTAGTTAGCTGCAGGATATTTTAGAGAAAATCAAGAGATGGAAGGAGAGGTCGATTCATCAGTTATCTGGTGTGCTTCAAATAGCACAAGCTCTGATCTCTTTTGGTATACATGATAAAGAGTCCAATCAATACACCTAGAGACGACATTAATATATCCTGCGATATATTGAATGCATGAATGTGTGTTAACTGTAAATGTATCTACATATAAAAAGGAGATAGGCATGTTAAAATGTCCAGGTAACTTCCCCAGGGGAACATAGACAATATTCTTTCAACACTTAAGTTGCTTGCATTTGCACAACATTTAAGTCATATATACATTTTTTGTAAGCGTGTATACCATTTTCTTTTTTGTCTATTTAAATGTTGGAGGGAGCGCAACACACCTAAAATAGGGCGTCCTAAGGGTGGAGTGATATGTTTTACTAACTTGGTATCCTTACATCAGGTTTTTCCAAGAGTAAAAACGGTTATGATTAATAACTATAGGTTGCAGTTTGTATATGGAGACATCGTCACTTCCATTCATGGCAAAGTGAGAGCGTCTGTGCAAAGGAGCCCTCATGGAACCATTGAAAACTTGCCATAGTTCCTCCACTACCTCAGCTGGTGAAAGCACCAAATGTTCCTGGGTATTGGGGGTTGAAATCATGTGCCTTTCTACTAAGCGACAATCGCTTTAGCAGCCAATCCCTAGATCTGAACACTGTCATGCACATGTAGGCCCTAATGAGGCTTAAAGTGCAAGGTCCACGGAACTACCCAGTGTTCACCAGATCATCCTGCAAGGGATTAAGGGCTCTGATGGGGATGGCTCCCAGGTTGCCGACCCTGGTTACACTTGGAGCGGCAAAAGCTGACATAAGGAGGAAACAAAGTCGGAACTAAAAATCGGCAGGCAAGACCATGGTCAAATTACGGGAATGTCAAGAAATGGGCAAAATGTTAGGGAAGGTGGATAACGAGCATCATCAAAAATACAAAGGTTGTAAATAGATGTCAGAACAGAGAGCGATATCACACTGGGGATTTTTCATGTCGGCTGGGACAGATTACTGGCAAGGCAAGTATAAGCGGGTCATTGGGGGGCACTTTGCACATACAGTCGCTTTACCGTAAATGGGCAAGCAACAGCATCTCATTAAAGAAATAACAGATGGGGAAAGATGTCTTATTTTGCTATACACTCAGCGAGAGGGACATAGCAGACCTCTGGGTATAAGCCCTGACCCTCAGATGATGGACACAAAGCAACAAGGCGGCAATACTCTTCCCCTTGTCCTACTTCCAAGGTCATATTAAAACTGAGCTCTCTCTTTCTCTGCGATGACTTGTATAGCCCACAAGGGGAAGAAAAAGCCCCATCGTTTTTTGTGGTTCGGGTCGACCCTCGTAGGTGAAAAGGTTCACTGTGTCCACCACTGAACATTTCGAGAAGTCACATATTTAAAATACAGATATGCAAGTTAAGCAATATTTTCAACAAATCCTATGAAGACGGAAAACAGTTTTGACAAAGACAAAAATACCTTTCTGTCATAGAGTTTTGAGATGTAAGGCTTGAAGTAATGCTCTTTTATCCCTTTGGCTTCAACTGCTAGCCCATCGTAGTATTCACACAGTGCGCTGATAATACAGGGAGGATCGTCATCAATGCTATCCATATCAGGAATAGGGAGCCTTGCTGTTTAAACAAAAAGGAGAAAGACTTCACTCAGATGAATGCATCCCATTTTTTTTTTTATGCAATCCTTTCAGTGTTGATATTAGAACCATAAAATACATTAGAATCTCATTACCTGGGTAGAAGATTTGGCCTCAGAGAAAAATGAATAGGCCTGGCAAAAAAATGCCTCAACATGCATCTCATCCTGTCCCCAACAGAAATACATCACCCCAGACAGGACTGACTGGCTCTTTAAATTTTCCATAACCTATGCCTAGCTGTAGACCAAATCTTTCCAAGCTTACATGCAACATCTGGAAGTAGATTTATGTATTATGGAACATGATGGCAAACAGCAAAGCACTGCCAACTGAGTCAACATGACCTCAACGTTAAAACTTTGGAGTGGCACACTTGCTCTAAAAGAGAAATATATAGAGATAAATATATAAATTTGGCCCACATGCTAGGACAGTGATGGTCCAAGCACTCGTTTTACTAATGTTCAAACTTCTGTAAGCACCGTTATTTACACAGCCCTCCCCATGGTCTGTAGTGATCACCAATATAAGAGATATAGCCCACAGGAAAGCATTCATTTTATAGACTTCAGTCTCCCATTATTTACACACCCCTCCCCATGGTCTGTAGTGATCACCAATATAATAGATAAAGCAAGTAGGAAAGCATTCATTTTATAGACTTCAGTCTCCCATTATTTACACAACCCTCCCCATGGTCTGTAGGGATCACCAATATAAGAGATATAGCCAGTAGGAAAGCATTAATTTTATAGACTTCAGTCTCCCATTATTTACACACCCCTCCCCATGGTCTGTAAGGATCACCAATATAGAGATACAGCACACAGGGAAGCCTTTAATTCAAACTCCCATTATTTACACACCCCTCCCCCTTGGTCTGTTAGGATCACCATGAGCAAAAGGAGAAAATAAATGCATAGCAATGGCTAAAGAGCAGTCCATGTGCCACAATCCATAATTGGCATTTATATACAACTATCAGCTGATAAACCGTCTACACTTACAAAAACTTACCTGTGAAGGATGCATTCAGAAGGTCGTCCTTATGGGGACACTGCAAAGCATGAGCATAAACCAAATCCAGGCAGCACAAAAGCAAGTGATAAGAGTTAACCAAATCATCGCCAATCAGACTAAAATTTCCTAAGAAAGAAAAAAAGGGACACGGGATCATGTACAAAGAAATAATTTATTAGGAAAGCCAGCAGACTGTTACAAATAAAATACTTTGGGTTTAACAAGCCGGTCATTTTTTATTACAAGCTAGGGATTCACAGATACCGTTTTTTCAGTATCAAGTACCGATTTTTTTCGGTACTCGCCTATACCGAATACTGATACCAGAAGTCCCATTAAGGAAGCCAAGAGGCGCGTAAAGACTCGCCACCCGGCTAGCAGGGAAGCCGCCCCCATGGTTCTCGTCACTAGGCGTAAAGACTCGCCACCCGGGAAGCCGCCCCCATGCTTCTCGTCACTAGGTGATGAGAACGCATGGAGCCGGCTTTCTGGCCAATCAGGAAGCCGGGCGCCGTATAATGAAGAGGCAGCGGCTTCTTGATTGGCCGGAAAGCCGACTCCATGCTTCCTCGTCATGAGGTGATGAGGGAGCATGAAGTCGGCTTCCCAGCCAATCAGAAAGCCGGGTGCCGTGTCATTACACGGCCCCTAATTGTTCGGGAAGTTGGCCAATCAGGAAGCCAGGCAGAGTCATTACACGCTGCCCGGCTTCCTGATTGGCCGGAAAGCCGGCTCCATGCTCCCTCATCACAAGTGACGAGGGAGCATACAGCCTGCTTGCCGGCCAATCAGGAAGCCGGGCACTGTGTAACGACTCGCTGGCTGGCTTCCTGATACCGGAAGTATCGGGCGAGGCATCGGAGCATTTGGGCGAGTACTCGCCCAAATACTCGGCTTCGGCACAGATACCGATACCAGTATAGGTGCATCCCTATTACAAGCCATGACCCCCATTAACAAAAGGTTTGACCGCCATTAACGGGTTTTACAAAATGCTTCAAGTAATTCGATAGCAAAACTGCAAAAATTGCATCAAAATTAAATTTACGAAGTACAATAAAATCCAACTTGCACTCACCCTTTGCGTATACAAATAGAGTCCAGCAGAAGTTGAAGAGATCTTTAACGTTACACTGTAACTTTCTAAAAGACAAAATGTAAATTCAAGCATTTATAAACCTTCGACCACTCTCAATTTAGAAGGCACACAAACAAGCAATTCATGTTCAAACTGTCCAAAAAATAAAACTTGAGTAAATAACTTTTTAGACTATATTTCTAATTGTCACATGACCGTTATTTATGCAGCTCCTACACGCTACAGGTCCAGGGCGGTACCAAGCCGCAGCAGGTCACACGTGCTGATCTCTCTATAGGCATACAATGTGTTGGACTGCGGTGCATTATTTTGACAGAAAGGCTCCCTGCAGAAACCTCTGTCATTTAAAGGGGAAACCCTCCCATCCCTAACAGACAAGGAAGTTGCCATCTTGGCTTGCAGTTGCCGTGGTGCAGCATGTGATCAGCTATGACACCAGCCATTTACAGGCTTGAAAGTTCAGTCGCATGCTGAAATGAGCACAATGACAACCTTGACAGCGGGCATGCCTTGAAAGTAACGGTTTCGGGAGACAATAAATTGGCGAGTAAAGTTCCTCCTAAAGTGCCAATTCCCACCAAATGTGTTCCGATGCATTTTGAAATGCATCAAAAACACATCTACACAAAAATAATGGCTGTCATTGGTGTAGATCACACCAATGTGTTGCATTTCGAAAACAGAGCAGGTTGCATTTTTCTCACTGCAACACACATCGTATAATAGGAGTGATGGTGCCAACGGGGTGAGCACAGGACATGGGCATGGCTGGTCACCCGATACCAGAAGGAGAAGAAACCAACATGATCAGCAGGCGTTTGCAATTTAGTGGCGTTTTTTTCCTTCACTTTATTATGGTGAACCATTTATTGGATTTAAATTATTTGTTTGACAGACACCAAAAAAAAGACCAAAAAATTATTTCCCGCATTACACACCACACACAGCTCAGAAGAGAATAAGCTGTTCAACATTCCCTCTGGTGGCGGTCAAGTAATCAAAAGCCTAGACTGGTCATTTCATCCCTGCATAAAGGAATCAGCCAATCAGAAATCTGACTCTCCCCATCAGCAGACACTGTGAGCATATGCCTGGGCAATCCCATTATTAATGTTACAGTATATGTTCATAACTTGATTATATTTAAGAGTTAGAACTCAGCTGATTCACAGGAATCAGAGGAACGTTCTTAAATTGTGTGTGGCTCTGCCAGCTTGACAAAAGTAAATTACTGAAATCGGCTTTTTTCTAAGGAGGCGAGCCAAAAATTGCCAGCCGAATGGTGTCTGTATCCAATCAGCTGCAGCCACTGGGTATGTATTCTGACAGCAGCAGGTGACGACGGTCAGAATACAACAGTGGCGATGAAAGATTCAGCAAAGGAATCTGTTAAGGTTTTTTTTTCCTTCAGCCCACAGGCCAGTCGATATGGCCAGTTCAGGGTTGCAGCTAACGATTATTTTCATAATCGATTAGTTGCCCAATTATTTTTTCAACTAGTCGATTGGTTGCATTTGCAGGGGCCGCCCCTAGGCTGTAATTGGTCTTTAGTTTTGTGCCTAGCGTCCTTCTCCTGCAGGTGGCGATATTACCCTACCATTCAGGATCTACGATCTGTTGCCTGTGTCCTTCAATGAACGGGAGAGAAAAATATTTTCTCTCCCCCACCCACCAACCGATAATGAGAATATTTTCCAACTATTCTCATAACCGATTTAAATGGACTAGTTGTTGCAGCCAAGGCCAGTTTAAGATAGATACCTGGGGTAGCCAAACTTCAGCCGGTTGTGGAACTACAAGTCCCATGGGGCACTGCAACATTGACAGCCACATGCATGACTTCCAGAGGCAATTTGTAGTTTCACCACATCTGGAAGCTGAAGTGTGTCTAGCCCTGATGTACACTGTACTGACGATAAAGAAGTAAGTCTTTATTTCTATTCTATGCACCAGAGCCACCCATCACACTTCCCCAGCGGCCTATCTCCATCAGCGTACCTTTGTTTTCTGCTTCTGGGCAGTCTGGGAGGCTCTTCGTGACGGTTCTGAAACATGTCTGCGAGTATCGGGTCAAACTTTTTGAAGATCACGGTAGATACCTCAAAGTTCCTCTCCAGCCGTTCTACCCGCTCCCTGAATTCCTGGGGAAGGTTTGACATGTCCATCCACTTTTTCATTTTATTGAAGAATTGGATCAGGCTAATAAACAGGAAAGAAAAACCCAATCCATAGATTTATTGTAACAATGTAACAAGTCCGCATTCAACTCAGAGCAACCAAACGAAAAAACGCAAAGCGGCCCCAATAAATGATTTGATGAATCCGTTATTACAAACTAAAACAGTATCATGAAAGTCTGAAACTAAAGGATGGGAAGGGGGGGAGTAATAAGTGCGTCTGAGACAAGTTCTCTCAACTGGTGTGGTTGCCCATAGCAACCAATCAGCTTCTATCATGTTTTACCACACAGATTAGAAAACATTGAAAAGCCGATTGGCAGTCGAGACAAAGTGTCTTTTTGTTATTATTCCCCCACCACCAAGGTGTTGATGAGCTGCACATACTATGGGGACTATTTACGAACGTTTTGACGCGAGAGTCACACATTTTTGAAAGGAATATGATTAGAAAAATCTTGGGTGAAAGTTATATGGATTTTGCGAGAAAACAATGTTTTTTTAAAATAGCCCCCCCACTTTATTTTTGGGGTGAGCATTTCATTATTTTGCCCAGAGACAAAACGAGCCCATAGCTCTTGCAGTGCGGGGGGTAGCCCCACTAAGAGGGTTCATTTTTTAGAATTGCCGGAGTTGCCCTTTAAACCTTAAAATCCATACCTAAGTTTGGCTGAGCGGAGAATACGGGTAAGGGACACTCCATTTCCCTCCATGATGCCTCTTCCAACTGTTGGAATGACGCCTTTCCGACACTCGGCATACAACGCACACGCCAGCCAGTGTTTCATGTTACCCTACGACAAAAACAGAAAATATGATGCTCCAGCCATTCATAACCCTCAAAGTAATTTACGGGGAGCCAAAGCACGAGCTCTCACCCCCCGCCAGGGTGTCCCTGTAGCGTGAGCACCACCCTTCCCACTCCATGGATGTCCCCGTAGCGCGAGCACCACCCCTGGGGTGTCCCCATAGCGTGAGAAACCCCCCTCCGCCTGGGGTGTCCCCATAGCGTGTGAAAACCCCCCCTCTGCCTTGGCCCCTCCTCCTGGGGTGTCCCCATAGTGTGAGCACCACCCTCCTCCCGGATGTTACCCATGCTGTAAGGTCCCCTCCTCTGACCTCCAGGCTGTAGGTGCTCCAGGTCCGGGTGAAGTTGCTCAGAGTCCTGGTTGCCGTCTCCTCTTCCAGGTTCAGCTCCGCACACAGACTCTCCAGTTCCTCCTGCACCTTCTCCCCGGCTTCCCCGTTCCAGGGGCTGGAGGACCCGGACTCTTCCCTCTCCATCTTATTATTATTACAGAGCCCAGACAGCCGCCCCGCACTTCACCTCCTTCCCACAATCCACCGCGACAGCAAAAAGGCGCGAAACCTGGACAGATTCACACCCCGCTGTATCCCTCCGCCGAGCACATTTCATCCCGAGGTCCCAGCACCCCGGGACTTACCGCAGGAACCGATCCTCCCCCTTTCCTCACACACACCGTACACCGCTGAATGAAGTAGGAAAGGGGGCCAGCGATCTGTTTTTTTACGTCCCTATTCCGTAGCGGCGGAGGGATACCAGGAATACCCCGCGGTGCGTTCTGGGAGTTGTAGTTTGATAGGCAAGTTAAAGCCCAGGGAGGCATTTAAAGGGGCGGAATTCGGTGTCAGTGCAGTTTGCACTTACCGCATTCCCCTCACCGGGAATGATGACAGCCGTACGGGTACTTTCTGTGTTCCTAACACATGTACAAACACTGACGAAATATGGTATGTTTTTACAAACCAAACTTTTTTTTTTTTTGCAAAGGGTCAAAGCTGAGCTCCAGGAATAAAGATTTAGCCCAGGTTCACTTCTGGGCGATCCGTGACCGTGCAGCCTCAAACAAATGTTCTGATATTCGCAGGGTTTGTAAATAGACCACTTAGTATTTTGCAGTGACTGCAGAGAGGGCTCACTGTAAGGCAGGGTTCATAAGAGGGTGATCCGTGACCGCACCGCCATCATGCACGAAACCCGCACAGTCACAGAAGCGCACATCACCGCTGATGGTGCCATTCTTTTCTAGTGGCACTACAGTCATGCCAGGCAGATTGCGCAGCTTCTCGTTGTGATTCTGACCCATGCAACATTGGTTTTAAAACACATGTCCCTTTTTTCAGCAAATGCTATAACTCCATTGAAACCAATATGGCCACACCAGCGGTGTATTTAACTTTGGTGCTGCCCTAGGCAAGGCAGCAGCAACGCCGCTTCTCGGACAGCACCCACCCCCTTGGGACACTAACCTGCCGCTTCTCGGACAGCAATGGTGAAAACTCCAACTAGAAAAAATGCTCTGTTGGACTTAATTACAAACAACACAGAACTGATTACTGGAGAGAACCTTGGGAACAGTGATCATAGAATTAGAACATTCACAATATACTCCCGGAAACAGACATGTTTGTATGACAAGAGCACTTCATTTTAAAAAGTCAGACTTTAATAAGCTGAGATTAATGCTAGGTGACACTAATGGGGAACAAATCTTCCTGAATATGAACACTGAGGACAAGTGGGAAAGTTTCAAGGAAATTTTAACAATATTCACCAGTGCAATCCATTTACCAACTAGTTCAAAACAGCAAACGTTAAACCTGGGGGGTTAACTAGTAGAGTAAAGCAATAAGTAAAAAAAAAAAAAGAAATGGCCTTCAAAAACTATGAGAAGGGTCACAATCGGCATTCCGAGAGATCACAGGAGGGCTACAAAAATTAATAAAAAGGGATGGGAGGCATGAGCTTTGAAGATCTCCTCCGGAAACTAATTGTTGAATTGTGTACAGAATGGTGTTGATCTGGGGTCTGAATGGTACGGAATGCTGTGGATCTGAATGGTACGGAATGCTGTGGATCTGGGGTCTGAATGGTACGGAATGCTGTGGATCTGAATGGTACGGAATGCTGTGGATCTGAATGGTACGGAATGCTGTGGATCTGAATGGTACGGAATGCTGTGGATCTGGTCTGCATGGTGTTGGAGTTGGTCTGGGGTCTGAAGATGCAAAAATGTGTGACTGATCTGAGATGCAGCTGATGGGGTTGAGGCTTCTTTCGGTGGAAAAAGTGCTTAAGCCATGAAGGGCTCATTGTGATTTCAACTTGATTGAAATCATAACTGCACGTGAAACACACATTTTCAATGCCCATTGCAATTCACTAAACGCACTTTAACATTTATCGATGCATGTTGATGTGTGTCATGATGCATTTACATGTGCTGATATGCCTGTCTTAATGCATGCGTTGAGATGTGTTATACAAGTGAAGGGCTACAAGTCATTAAAGACTGGAGGGAGCAAGTCAAATATCAACCTACATGAATTTGCCATTTGCATCATAGAGACCCACATTTAGGAGCTCTGTAGATACCTGCTCTCCACACTTGAGGGCAGCTTATTGTTCTAATTCAGAGGTAGGCAACCTTGACACTACAGCTGTGGTCAAACTACAATCCCCTTTAAGCCATTTTATCTGGGAGTCATGCATGTGGCTGCCAGTCTTGCAATGCCTCATAAAATTTGTAGTTACACCACAGCTGGAGTGCTGAGGTTGCCCATCTCTGGTACCCTACCGGTTTATTTTAAAGAACAAAGCCACCCAACATTATTCATAAGATTCTGACAGATCATTGATGGAATCCGGGGCACGTAATAACATCTGCCTATCTAGTCCTGCTTAATAGGAAAAAAAATACCTTGTGCATGAACACTGCCATATGCTGATTTCAATAAAACTCTTTAAAAGGAGAACTATAGGGTCAGGGCTTTTCCCCATAGTTCTCCTTAGGGTACCAGGAGGACACAAACTAGCGTCCTCTCATCACCCTAAGCTCAGTATACCGTGAGCTACAGCTCGCGGTATACTGAGACGCCGGAGCGGATCCAGACATCGATATCCGCCCAGCTGCGTGAGTGACAGCTGGCTCTGCCTATCTAGAGGCAGAGCCAGTGCATGGTGTTGGAGTTGGTCTGGGGTCTGAAGATGCAAAAATGTGTGACTGATCTGAGATGCAGCTGATGGGGTTGAGGCTTCTTTCGGTGGAAAAAGTGCTTAAGCCATGAAGGGCTCATTGTGATTTCAACTTGATTGAAATCATAACTGCACGTGAAACACACATTTTCAATGCCCATTGCAATTCACTAAACGCACTTTAACATTTATCGATGCATGTTGATGTGTGTCATGATGCATTTACATGTGCTGATATGCCTGTCTTAATGCATGCGTTGAGATGTGTTATACAAGTGAAGGGCTACAAGTCATTAAAGACTGGAGGGAGCAAGTCAAATATCAACCTACATGAATTTGCCATTTGCATCATAGAGACCCACATTTAGGAGCTCTGTAGATACCTGCTCTCCACACTTGAGGGCAGCTTATTGTTCTAATTCAGAGGTAGGCAACCTTGACACTACAGCTGTGGTCAAACTACAATCCCCTTTAAGCCATTTTATCTGGGAGTCATGCATGTGGCTGCCAGTCTTGCAATGCCTCATAAAATTTGTAGTTACACCACAGCTGGAGTGCTGAGGTTGCCCATCTCTGGTACCCTACCGGTTTATTTTAAAGAACAAAGCCACCCAACATTATTCATAAGATTCTGACAGATCATTGATGGAATCCGGGGCACGTAATAACATCTGCCTATCTAGTCCTGCTTAATAGGAAAAAAAATACCTTGTGCATGAACACTGCCATATGCTGATTTCAATAAAACTCTTTAAAAGGAGAACTATAGGGTCAGGGCTTTTCCCCATAGTTCTCCTTAGGGTACCAGGAGGACACAAACTAGCGTCCTCTCATCACCCTAAGCTCAGTATACCGTGAGCTACAGCTCGCGGTATACTGAGACGCCGGAGCGGATCCAGACATCGATATCCGCCCAGCTGCGTGAGTGACAGCTGGCTCTGCCTATCTAGAGGCAGAGCCAGCTGTACCCTCCCCCGTCCGTTCCGCCAGTCAGCGCTGGCGCTTTGGAGCGGGGAATCCATCCCCTCCCGTCACGGCAGAGAGCCGTGACAGGATCGAGAAGTGAGCGAACGCCGGTATGTGTTCGCTTACCTCCCGATCTACTGAGCCGACCTGTGACAGTCTCATTGTCACAGGTCGGCTAGAACTATGGAGGTGAGTGAAAAGCCCTCACCTCATAGTTCTCCTTTAAAATTGGATCAGGCTGTATACAAATTGATTTGCTTTATAAACATTGAGCTTCAGCTGGGATCTGCAGGCGGTTGCAAAGTGGCTGAGGACCAGCTCTCCCAGACAGCAGTTAATATTTAGCCAGGCTTTTAATATGGAACACAGCATTTTCTCCTCTTTCTGCTCCCCGCTTGCACCTGCCTAAAGAGGACCTGGATTGTGCAAGCGAGCAGAGGCCAAAGGTCCCCTCACCAGTATTGCCTGTAGGCTCCCTGCAGCTGATCTCTGCCCCATTACTGTTTTACCAAGCATGTTTCCATGCTGTGTCTTTGTGTAAAGGCGGCCATCTTCATAGGAGGCAGGGTTTTGCTTCCTCATGTCCAAGCTGTACACAAATTACATGTGATTTGATAACTGGAGGGGGAAAAAAGAAAAGCAGCAGGTCAGGTGGAGCAAAAACAGTCACATAATAAGGCTGGGCACACACCTTACAACCATCGCAAGACCTTTGTCTTGTGATGGTTGTAAGGTAATTAAAAAAACAAACATACGATCTGCTTATCTTGGACAGGAAGCTCGTACTTGCGATGATCGCAGGCCATGCCCCGCTGAGGGGCAGGTTTCCGATGACCGCAATGCTGAACGGGCAGTGTGCGCTTGCGCACACCGGCCCGTTCGGCTTTTATCTTACGAACATGCTACGCACCTGCTGAAAATCGTACGATTCTCGGCGGGTTTTCAAACATGTTTGCAAGATAAAAGTCGTGCTTACAGTAGTAGAGGTCGCACGGCTTCCGATAAGCGTACGATCGCGGGATTTCCCACGATTTTCGTAGGATCATCGCAAGGTGTGTGGGCACCTTAAATGAAGTCGAAAGCAGAAAGATCCTTGCACTGCAGGTACAAGTTTTACCTCCGGCAAGCCCTCAGGAGAACAATGACCAGCACAGCAGTGGCATCACTAAATCTCCAGAGACGAACGTTCAGAAGGAACAGTGCTGTAGTTGATCGCGCGTGTATACAACTATGAGGCTACACGAGTGCCTGGGCACCTCTATTGTTTAGCAGGAATTCAAGACATTAGGGTACTGCTTGGGCACAAACATTTCTACATGTTCCTTCAATTTAGCAATTCTTTTTGAGGTCCACTTTAAAGTTCCGAATCTG